GGGGGGGAGTCAGCTAATCAACAGCAACCACAATTAACTGTCGGGATCTTTGGCTACCCTAATTGAATAGTTGGACTTGACTGTCACACTTATAACACTTTTTTTCGGCAACGGAACGCGAACCTTCGGAACCACAGTCAGGCACACTATCACCAGACCATCTCATGTCAGTATATAACTGCCAAAATCCAATTAACATAAAAAGTTGTTAAACTATTATTGCATTGTGTTGATAAAGAGTTACTGAAAATAAAACACGGATATTACACACGGTTATGGTAATGTAGCCGTTGTTTTTGAAAAGAAACTTTGGAAGTAAGAAATACAATTTAGGCAAAAATACTTAATTGTAATCATCATATAAAATTGATAAAGATCTTTACAAAGTCAAAACTTTATATGTTTGTATATTTCTTCCCTCTATGAGAACAACAACAACAACAAAAAAAAACACAGAAAATCTTTATGACAAAACCTTTTTATTTGGGACAGTTGTTATCCCTAGACAGTCCCTAAAGATGGGCCTGTAAAGTATTGACATTTATTTCACATTTATACATACACCCACTGACGATAATATTGAAATTTCTATGCTGTACAGAAACACTGATGGCGACACATTTATTAAAAATGCAGTATATTACCTTTAACTGAAGAAATCACTCCGACACATAACAATGCTATTTAAACCCTACGCGGCCCTATATAATTACTTGAATTTGCACGATTGAGTTTCAGTTAATGAATGTGTACGAATCAACTTCACTGTTATTTTTTCAACATTTCTTGCCTTCTCTAGCAAAAGTAATTTTTTTCTAAATATTCATTCTAACCCCATACTTTCACACTTGTGTTATTCTAGCACATTAGCACATACTCAATTTATATTCGTCCGAGTATGTTCAGGTCGTTTGAAATGTTATTCAGATTTTAACGTTTTCTTCGTTTTTCTAATTCAGTGAAATACGTCATTTAAAATCAATGGCTTACAATATCGATTCGGCAGTGAAGTAAAAACTAATTCATTTCTACTAACAATCAATTCGGTTCCTTACTTGAATTATTATTAAAAAAACAAACTAAAATATAAATTTTACACTAGTCGAAGCCACGATAAAACTAAGCAAAACATTTTTTTAGAAAAAAAAATAATGAATTTCATGACCTCCGTGTTCTGTAGCAAAATGTTAGCACACACGAGGCTTTCGATAGATGAACAAAGTCATCCATCGATAACTTGGTTGATTCGGAGTAGTAACGTAATGAACAATGCACCGGATAAATAAAAAAATAATGAATTACTATACTACGTTGATGGTTTTAGACTAAGATGATGCTATCATTATGGGACCTGCACACGATTTGTACCTTTAGTTGAAAAATAAAGAGAAAAGAACTTCGAAGAAAATTCCAGTTGAAAATGTCCATATCGTATAGACATTCTAAATATAACGTCTGCTCTGTATACCTCGTTTTCGCCATGGTTAGCTAGAACTTAATGATCTAAACAAGAAAAGTCTTTATGCACATCGACCTATTAATTAGAAGAAAAACTTGCTATTATTATTATGATGTTTTTTGTTTTTTTTAATGTTCAATATACAATTGGGACAAAAATGCGTATACACTTCTTCACAAACACTGAGCTATACAGTTACCACATGTCATATACTAGATTATTGGCTGTTTAAAATCAAGTCATAGCCACGCTTGACTGGTCTTTTATGTACAGGGCGAGGCAAAGATCGCTATACAGTTTTTTCCTTCAGAACATACTTCATTTTCTACCTATTACTTTCATACAAATAATAATTAGATTGGTTTTAATTGGTTTCGTAATATTTTCTTTAGAAACCTCCGATAACGTGTAGTACCAACTGTATAGTAACTTTTACCCCACCCTGTATTATTTATATATACATATATATATTTATATATCGGTTGTTATAGTTTTTATTACTTTTTGAAAACTAAGTTGACACTGATTTCGTGAATTAAATCTGTTGCATCAACCCTACGAAACTTGATTCAGAACAAATTCGTTTCAAAGGTGAAATTTTCCGAAACTTTACTCAATAGATTGGTTACTATCAGGATTTAGTCTGATGTTTGATGTGTAAACACTTATCAGAAATTTAATTTCTTTTAAAATATGGGCCAAAAAACATGCGAGGTTTACTCTACAAAATATAAAACATGGATTGAACTAATTATTAAAAAACAACAACATTTACTATAGTTTTTCTGGTAACTGACATCTTTTAAAAATTTATTTCAAGGTTTTCTGAGGAAAAACATTAATATTAATTTTTTCTACTTCCATATTTATATAGAAATCTATATGTGTGTGTATATATATAGAAAAAATCAAATTATTCTTTTCCTCGAAAAAGTAAAAATCTAGGTGAAGTCAATTACGAGAAAAGAGCATAATTTTGTGTAAATTTTAGGTGTATTAAAAACCAGTCTCAACGTAAGTGACAAATTTTTCAGCATCAACAAGACTTAAAATTAATAATAATTTCAGTTTAGGTATCGAAATCTTGAATTTATGTATACCGTGATGTAAATTTTAATTTTGCAACATTTACGTAAATCGTGTTTATTGCGTTAAACTCACACTAAAAGTAAGTTGAATTAAAAAAAAAACAGAATGATGAAAACTTTGAAAATGAAGAATAATATCCAACCTAGTAAGAAGTAAAAAATTACTGAAAAAGATCAAACTTTTAAAACTCGGTTAAGTTTTTGATTGTGAATATCATAAACATCAGACATAAATTAACATTCAAATCAGAATAATTTTCACACTGTCTTAATCTTGTAAGATTTGCAAGAAAAACATTTCCATTTATATTACGATATAGAGAAAAAAAACCTAGCCTTTCTGTCCCAAGAGACCAAAAAAGATGAAAAATGGAAACGAAGCCTATATCTTACATAAAAGTCCAATCTGTATAGACGTTTTGAAATCTTCGCTTTATTCTAATTGCTGTATGATGTCCAAATCATTTGGACATTGATAATTTTCTTAGAATGTCCAACGTCCACACAAACTGACATTAAAAACTGTCCAAAAATGTAAGATGAAAATCTTGATTCATTTGTGAAAGTTCCAAGATATTTCCATAATTCTTAGTTTCCAGCTTTTTTAAACTTAACTTTGCAAGAATACGACTTTTCAAATTAGTTTGATTATGTTCCATAAAAACATTTAATTTTCAAAATTGTTAAGAAACTCTTTTAACGATACTTATCAGTTTCTCTACTTATACATTTTACTAACAGTCATTTACTATTTTAATATCTTCACACAACTTCACAGAATGAACGGCTATTTTAATCGTCTCTTTACTGTTCATTTTTGACTTTTCACATCTGAACTCATATGCCGAATGTGCCACTTTCCAAGTATAAAAACCGGATTTTTGCGTCCATTTTCTACTGTCTTGGTGCATTTTACCCGCCAAAAAATTGTATCAATGCAACCAGAACAGAAACCAACTGGGATGAATTCATTTTCCAAACACGTTCGATCGCAAATTCCGAATCAATATTAAGCTCTAATCGTGGATGAATGTTGAAGATAAGGTTTTCTAATTAGTGTTCCTTGAGCAAATCTCAAGGGAACATATATCTTCTTTTCTAGTATTATCATCATTATCTTCTTCAACATGAGATTCCGAAAGTTAAAAAAGGAACAAATAAACAAACAAGCAAAGAATGAAAACAACGGTAGGTAATTAAGGAATCAAAAGCTCGGTCAAATAATCCTCAGTTTTTGGATATGGCACAAAAAAAAGAGTTTTTCTCTTGTTATTCTTCTGTTCTGATGTAGACCTCGAACGAAAGTTTGGTGCACGTGACTGTGTTTTTTGTCTATGTGTATATGGAATTATGTTCATCCCAAACAGGAACAAAAACACAGACCACAGTGAACAGGAGCAAAACGTCTGTACACGCATGTATAGATGTGGATACAGAAGACTTGGGAGTCTGGCTTGACTTTCCAAGTGCACCCACTAAAGACGGTGGTGTTCGCTTGCTCCCTGCAAAATCAGAACAGCAAGAAAAAGAATAAATTATTTTGACACAAATAAACAACACAGATATAAAAAATGTTCTTAGAAATAATAAATAAGTAACGCAATTACCTGACAATACCATACTCATTATTATAAATTATCTTGTTTTAAATCAGGTTCCAATATCAATGTGCAATTCCGTACTCCTTCAGGGAACAAAATGTACTTGATAAAAAAATATTCATAAATAGGGTACTTATAAACGTAATCCACAATATTTCGTTTATGAAAATCTTTTTTTTAACAAATGATATTCCTACAAAAAATACCCTTCAATTATCCCGTAAGATCTGCGCAAATTATTATCAATACATACAATAGTTTTACATTTGTTAGTAATAAAACGTTCAAATGGGGGGGGGGGATCGTCTACAAACCCATTCAAGCTTTATTTCTAAATCTACAAAAATCATCATTCCCAAGATAGTACTTTCAAGTGTTCTCAAGAAAATATTACATTAGTGTGTGCTCTACAGATGTCAAGAAAATATTACATTAGTGTGTGCTCTACAGATGTCAAGAAAATATTACATTAGTGTGTGTGTGCTCTACAGATGTCATACGATTATTAGGAAACTTGTGATAGGATAACAGGAAAAAGATATCGCCTCGGTGATGACTCGCACTTTTCAAAACAAAACCAGACAACGAAAACTGAATAAGAAAATATCACGTGCAAAAAGATTCTCTTGCCTATTTGTTTCTCCTCTACATAGAGAATAAACAACAACAAATAAAGTATTTCATTTTGCCCTCAACAAAGCTTTACCTCATCCGTTCCACAAAAAAGGGGGAACTGAAATAAAAGTCGCTGTAAAAGCTATATTTCCTCAAACAACATCTCCAGGAGTTCTTTCGTAGTATCTCTAATATTAACAGTACTGCCAAGACATTGATAAAACAAATCAGATTTAAAATATCTACATATTGTTACATAATTTTAATGCGAACAACGTGGAATCCTCATTAGTAGTATTAGTGAGGTCGTTAAATTGTGTTATTAACATTAAACTGTGATGAATTTTTTTATGTCATCATCCGTTACACAACTAACGAAAAATATATGTCATCATCCGTTACACAACTAACGAAAAATATTAAATGGATATTACTGGAAAACGAAAAATTCCCTTGAATTGCACCAATAGAAGGTACATGAAAGCTTTGCAAATGGAAGCACAAGATTCCTATTCTGATATATTAACAGCATTGGTTCCTCCAAAAAAACAGTGAATATTAAATATCCATATAATTCATGAATGTTATAGGGTAGAAACAATTTAATTTGCAATGACTGATGTACTTCTGTTCAGATTTTAAAGAATTATGAAATAAATTTAATATTTACAAATAAAAACAGCTCATAATTATAACAATATCGCGATGTTGAGAAATTTGAAGCCACAGAAAGTACTTCGTTTCACGTTATAAGTATTGATTGCTACTAAAATAGTATTTAAAAAAACAAAAGGTAGCATTATATGAACAGCTAGCATGGGAAGTACAACCAACTTATTACGTATTCAGTACTTAATACTTAACAGACATTAAAGTTAATGCATATCTACCCTTTGAAAGCCAACTCTGCCTGACCACCATGCACCCCCCCCCCATCCCTGCTATCCCCCCCATCCATTATCACCACCACCATTACCACACATTCAGCATGCAAGAAGGAAGATTGGTTTGTCATACATTTCATCCGTATTGGATCTGGTGGACACCAGGCTCGTACAGGCTGGCTGTAGCCAACCCTTCCGACATCCCTGCTGGCTGGTTGAAAACATGCCTCTGAGAGTGGGCCTGAAGGAAAGAAAACAGCCCTCAACTGTAGAAGGTGACATGACCCCCTTCTGTTTCACAGTCCTAAACTACAGTACAATCACCGTTTCATATCTACCAGCTATACATAATAAATTAAAAGCTAAAAAACGCCTCATTACTAATATAAAAAAAATCGTACTTAACAAATTATCAATAAATGAAGATCATGCATGAGTCAAAAAGTCCCGGCAGGCAGAGCAGATTCAACCATGCGATAAAACGAAACAAAAAATATGCAAAATAATATTCAGATTCATCGCTCTCAGCTTGACTCAAAATTGACATACAGTATTCCAAAACATCTACACTGCTGAAGAATTGTATTATATATATTCAAGACTGAGCCGTATAAATTTGTATTGATTATATTCTCCGATTTTAATTGTATTAAATTTACACGAGTTACGTCGTCAAAACTACTTCGTACAAAATACAGTGATAGCATCCACAATAGTAAATCGCAAAAAATATTGAATCGTAAAAATAAATAAAAAGACTGGATGAAGAATATTTCAAGATTAAATTGTATGAAAAAAACTTGGAATATATTCTCAAATTAAAATCGTTCTTAATATTATATGTGATATAAACTCAAATTTGATTCGCATAGAAAGTACACGGAAAATATATATACTCTCAAGATTGATCTGAATAAACACACACGTGGAATATGTCCTTAAAATGAAATGACATAAAAATTCATGTACTGTAACCTAAAGAGAGAGAGCAGTAAATAAAATTCACATTAGATTTCCAAATTAAAAAAGTCTAAAATACATAAGTATGTATGTATACATTTAGATAGGGTAAACAAAAATAAAAGGCACAACTGTACAAATATAAATGACTTATATCCCTACAAATCTCATTGAATTATATTTCATAAGCTAAACTTTGTCCCTCATATCTGTAATTACACGAACTATTTTTCTGTGCTAACCTAAGAACTCGAGCTTACTTGTACACACTGGCGATCTTTTGCCTAGAATATAAACAATAACCATGGTCTTGTAAGCCATATGATCTCAATATTCTGATAATGTACTTTGAAACAGTGTATGTTGAAATAAGACACTTTAATTATACCTATCTAAGAATTCTATTTAGGATAAATCAATTGAAATACACACAAAAGTTAATTTTACCCGAAATCAGGTAAGGATCGAATTCTAAACTTGCAATAATAAATATGTAATTATCGACCTAATGATGTGTAATAAAGATGGTTCTAAAATTAATAAGATGTAATAATAAAATGCATAGTATTATATTACCAATTAAAAGCATCATCATATAATTATGAAAGTTATAACGTTTTACCCAGTATATAATGGATTCTTGTTAATTAAGCTTGAGATGTGACCACCATGGGGATCGAACCACAATTTGTAGTAATTTGAGCTCACAACCTTAGCGTGCGCCAACGGAGAGGTCACAAAACATGTATTTACAGGAGTGTTTGTTTTTTAAGCCCAAAGACACACTACGGGCTATCTGTATTCTACTAACTGCGGATATCGAACTCCGAATTTTAGCGTACAAGCCCTCAGACTTACTGCTTACCGGGGGGCATGGGGGAGTGTCAGATTCACTTTAGAAAATGTTCAGCTGTAATCCCTTCAAATTTTATTTACATCAAAACTTTATAACTCAGTCTTAATATTTACCTACTGTTTAAATATACTCTTGATTTGTAAGTGTTGTGTCAAAAACAAAAAATCATATTGCTGTTAGTAATCTGTCGATAATGTCGTCACACTTATTTAGTTGTAAATTTTATGTGGATATGCTATTGGTTGAACAAACTCTCAGTAAACAACCAAAATGCTACATCGGTATTATATTCGATAACCCGAAAAAGTGAGAGCGAAAATTTTCAGTACGTCAGCTAATACAGTAAAAAAACAACAACAACAAAAAGACAAAGTAATTTGATAAAAAAAAAGGACAGTCATTTTCACTGGCGGTGTGTCAATTTTCTGCCCAGTCAGCAGGAGACTTTCTATATCAGGATAAAACCGGATTAAGCTTTACTAATGATGGGGAAAAGTGGCACTAGAAGGAGGAATGTTTTGCACTGGGGGCGCTGAGTTTGGTTAGTTTTGTCACCCAAAATGTCTCAAATAAGCTCCAACCTACCGCTTGTGGGCGGTTCCCCCCCCCTTCCAGACTCCCAATTTATCTAGATTGATTTGGTTCTTCTACAGAAAGTAAAGATTAGAAAGTAGGGATCAACATAAGAAAGCTCTTACACAAGATTTAGAAAGAAAAACTAACAACACGTAATAGAACTTAGATTATAAGGCTGTTCTTTTCTTTCTGTTTTAGTTCTGTCATTTGTATCGTAGATCTGGTCACTGCGGACTGTCTTGTTACCATGCTATAAACTATCTTCCTACTATTACACGGGTTAGCTTTTAAAGAACCCACTTAAGATTTCTTCCCAAAAAACTTTGGAACGCAAGTTTTTAGTTGCAAGTAATAGAAGCGTATTCTTTCAATCAAAAACATTCACGCCAGTTTAATTTTTTTTTACTGATAACAGCCATCGAGAACTTAAAAATAACTAAAAAAATACTACCTACAACCTTTTACACTAGTATTTGTTTCTATCGAAAGAAATAAAATTTCACTATGAGGTGTAAATTTATTAATTGCATAACGGCTACTTTTTAAAAATTAACTGAAAGCATTATTCTTGGTGCAAGAGAAGATAAAATAGTAAATATTACATTAGATGTTTGTTTAGACTTTTTTGCGCAAAGCGACACGAACACATATCTGCGCATAGTCGACTCTAATTTCGTTGTTTGTTTGATTTAGCGCAGTTACTTGAACCCATCTGCGCTAGCTGTCCCAAATTTTGAAGTGAATGATTAAAGAAAAGGCATCTAGTCAACAGTACCACTGCTAACTGTTGACCAAGTATTGTTTTACCAAATAATGGGATATGACTGCTATTCTTATGCTTCAAAGTACAGAGGGCATTTTAGCGGCAATAAAACGCGAACCATGAATCTTCATATTCCGGGCACGCTAACCACTAACCTACGGCCAGCTACATATATTAAAGGAAAATCAAGTTTTAAATTCATTTCATTATAAACAGCTATATGGATTATTACGTTATATAAAATATCCACACAAAAAACAATAAAAAACGTATTTGAAAACTGTAGTATTTAAGCCAGTATTGTATGTCACGTTCTGTCATTTTTTACAAATATTTGTAGATATGCTGTATTAGTTTTCAGTTTCTCAAATGAGACCACCATTTTGTTGAACAAGATATTTCTAGAACCAATTTGAACATCAGATAGTATAACACTGCCACATCATCTACAAGTGAAACATCTAATCTCCTTATATGATGTTTTTGTATAACCAAAAGAAGAAGAAAAACAGTAAACATATGAAAAGATTTAAGAAGTCTGAAATCGTTTTCCATTTTTTGACAAGTTTTTTTTTGTTAAACCTTTCGTTACTGCAGCAGTTTTGATTCCCTATGTGGAAAATTTTTGGGTAATTTTGTTATAATGTTGTGGTTTTTGCTACATAGTTTTAAAACCACTAAAATACGTTGTTTATAATGCACGGTAACATGCTTTGTTTTGAGACGTCATATTCATACATCTTTTAGTATCAATCAAAAATCACTTTTTCCACAGTTACCTAATTTATTCATCGTGATATATGTTCGTGCAGTACACAGGTTAGAAACATCACTTTCGCCACAGTTTACCTAATTTATTCGTCGTGATATATGTTCGTGCAGTACACAGGTTACAAAAATTTTTGTAACCTGTGTACTACACGAACATATATCACGACGAATAAGTTAGGTAAACTGTGGCGAAAGTGATTTTTGTAACCTGTGTACTACACGAACATATATCACGACGAATAAGTTGCATAAACTGTGGCGAAAGTGATTTTTGTAACCTGTGTACTGCACGAACATATATCACGACGAATAAATTAGGTAAACTGTGGCGAAAGTGATCACTTTCGCCACAGTTTACCTAACTTATTCATCGTGATATATGTTCGTGCAGTACACAGGTTATAAAAATCACTTTCGCCACAGTTTACGTAATTTATAAGCATCCAGCATTCAAACCGTATTTGGGATAAATCTTTGTGTTTCTCCGACATTCGCTGCTTTCATCCTGTCTTCTTTTTCTGTTTAAAGTTTATCATGGCCAATAAGTGATATACGGCTGCAATGAATGTCAGAAAAAGACTCACATCTTCTATGAAAGCACGTTGTCCTGCTTAAGGTATATATTAGTCATATGACTTTACCATTTAATCTACAAAACACATTCTATAATCACACACACACAAACTCGGGATTCCTCTGGGATGCATTATGTGCGTAGCCAAAGCAAGTACATCTGTTTAGGGATATACTTAAAGAAGGTTAGCATATGTCGACGTTTCTACGGCACAATGCACACATAAATATATATATATATATATATATCACGAAGTAGACTCTATGAATGCACAATGCAGCGAAAGGATCAACTAGCTATCTTGAAACGAAAACAAAACTGACGTAACTTCCTGTCGGAATTACCTACCTACAAACATCACTACGTCAACATTATCCTGGCAACATGTCAATAGGATAGGACGTAAATAGCAATACGTACATCACAGACGTAAGATTCACTGTGATATCTGTATGACGTGAAGTCATAAATTCAAACAGAGGGCACTGTTCTCACCTGTGGTTGGACATTGGCTCCCATTGACGAGACGGACTGGTAGGAGTCACCACCGTTCATGCTCATGTTATACATTCCGTCACTAGGTGGCACTGGTCCAGGCGGTGGAGGCGGACTGATCATCTGTCCCTGGCTTGATGGTACCATACCGTATGCAGCAGCACCACCACCACTTACTGCTGTTACAAACAAAATACCTATGTTACAACTATGTATTACACAACCATGAATTAAGTCACAAATATTTTAGGAACAAACTTGTTCAGTCTTGTTTATAACGGTATTTTAAGACATTAGAAAAGGTGCTAAGTGTTTATTATATATTAACTACTAAAATTTTTGTTAACATTTTAATGTGTGATTTCATAGACTATTAACACTTTTTACTTCTGCGATAATCAGCTTATACTTTGTAGCCCAGTGTGAACACATCAAAATCTAATGTACAAACTGCCATCTATAGGATTTTGTGTTCATTATTCAAAACATCAGCTGGTGTGCTTAAACTCTGAAGTTCTAAGTATAAATAGGTCTGACGGCTGATTGTCTGTTTGTTTGTTTTTTATTTCGCGCAAAGCTAAACGAGGGCTATGTGCGCTAGCCGTCCCTAATTTAGCAGTGAAAGACTAGACGGAAGGTAGCTAGTCATCACCGCCAACTCTTGGGCTACTCTTTTACCAACGAATAGTGGGATTGACCGTCACATTATACCGCTCCCACGGCTGAAAGGAGTAATGGAGATCCAAAATTTCAAATTCACTTGGCGGTGCTGTGGAAGGGGCCATACATATATATGTCAAAGACAATGAATTAAGAGTTAAAAGTACTGCGAAAAGTCTCGTGTATTTTTTACATTCAAGATGTATTTTTTTAAAAACCTTTAAAACTTGCTCGAAACGTTCTATCATACGAGAGTTCATATATATATATATAGTTAAAAAGAAAAGAAAAAAAACGTTTCCGAGTTTCTCATCTGTAACAATTCTCGTTGATCATCGTATTTGTCTGCTTCTGTCTATTTTAGAAATAAAAAGACGTTACAATATTACTGAAGCCATTCTGGGGCTGTCGCTAAGCCCCTTTACGGACGACGATATAATTTGCGTAGTTCATTATCTTTTAATTTTTGTAATCCTCCAAAGTATCGGATGGGCGATCATGTAAGAAATCGACAGTCATTAAGGACTCTAATGTAACCTAATCATTATTAAAAAAAAAGAATTATCAAGTTAAATAGCAGTTTGTTCCAAGCAGCCTATAATGGAAAGTCGGAAAGTTATACATTTAGTTTATACACATTTTGTGTTCATTTGTGTGTATAAAATACTTCTCACGAAAAGCATATCACAATGTCTTAGTTTTGAAGCCCTTGTATTTCTGTTTTTCGGGATTCTATCACAATAGCACTCTTCTAAAAAAACAATCGTTGTTCAAAACTGTCGTAATTATAGATCGTGAATGTTTGTTTGTTAGGCTGTTAAGCACAAAGCTACACAATGTATATATCTGTGCTATACCTACCAGGGGTATCGAAATCCGATTTTTAGCTTTATAAGCCCTCAGACTTACTTCTGAGCTATAAGGGAGGGGAAACTCATAAAGTTAAGCAACTATTCCTAGGATACTCTGGCAGAACAGGCATTGTTTAACACTGGAATGTATACATCAATACAATTGCATATGTGTAAGTATAATGATAAATCTGTCATATTGAGATTTAATATAAATGTAAAGTTAGTGACGAATTTATCATTTTCTTATTAATCCAAAAACTATAATGTACAACATAAGAAACGTGAAACAAATATGATCAACGAAATTGGGAAAAACAACAACAACTTACAATAATGTTATATAGTTTCTTCGCAAAACTGTTTCAGTTTTTCTTATTTCTGACCCGACGCCTGTTTGATCAGTTAAAAGGATTGCTCCATCCTTTTAACCTTCTTTTTTTTAACCTCTCTCCTTCCACTCGCCCCTCTATATTTCTTTCATTGGAGAGAAGCCATCAACAAATGAAATGGGTATGAAAGTGAGTTTGTACGGACCCAGACAGATTCAATCCCAAGGGAAACGGAAAACCGAGCAATTTTTGGAAGCTTGCAAGTGAAGAAAGAAGAGTGATGACATTAAAAAGAGTGGGAGGGAGAAGCATTGTACAACTGGTGTGTGTGTGTGTATAGGAAGAAGTGACTCGATGTCTCAATACATCATGTCAAAACTAGAATGATACAGTAAGAAACAGGACAAACGGTTTGAGAGTCAGTGTCAGTAAGTTTGACGTATTGATGTTATTTCATTTCGAAATTTCTGAGCAAAATGAAATATTACGCTAAGCTTGCAGGCCTTTTCGGAAATAAAGCTGGGACAGTTCCAGTCAAGAAGGCAAAATGATGTTAGTACAACAAAGGAAATTTCCTCGAATACTTATTACGTTATGGAACGAACAATGCTATCGTAATATGTCCATGCTCTGACGGTAGCAGCGTTGTTATAGTATAATAATCACTTAGTTCTGAGAAACAGCAATAAAATTAAACTTCAAAGACAGCTCTGAGATACACGACAAGTTAAAAAGAAAACGATGGATGGAAAAACATATATATACGGATACTTTCAATAACATCAATGGCTAAATCGTGAAACTGCGTACAGCATGGACTACGCCTTGAAACTGTTTCGCATAGAATACACCATGAAACTACGTAGCATAAAATACACCATGAAACAGCATATAGCATAGAATACACTATGAAACTGCATATAGCATATAATACACTATGAAACTGCATATTGCATTGACTATGCCAAGCAACTACGTAGCATAGATTACACCACGAAACTGCGTACAGCATGGACTGCATGACAAAACAGTGTATACATGCGTGTAATATCATTTATTTCTTCACTGTTAACTATCACACCAAGTTCAACTTCAGAAACGAGAAAAACATTTGATAATACTAATAAAAAACAACAACAAAACGTTGTTTATATGAAACAGAAACAGAAGTACGAACATAGTCAAGTGGCACAAATTTATTAGTGTAACCATACCGTGTTAGGCATTAAGAACAGTTAAATTAACGTAACGCAGTGATCAAATGTTTACTACTAGTTGTCGAATAACTGGAAAACAACGTTTCTGCTACAGTTACGACTTCCATTAAAATTTGGCTTGCTTTTAGATCTATTATACATACTCGTAGTTTTAAGACGAAGGGAATTTCTTTTATAACTGTGAACGAAGAGTAGAAACTTTCCTATACTACATTAGTTTTATATATGTGTGTGTGTGTGTGTGTTACATGTATCTGTAAATCAATAACAGCCCTGTACTACAGTAGTTTTATATATGTGTGTGTGTTACATGCATATGTAAATCAATAACAGTCCTGTACTACAGTAGTTTTATATATATGTGTGTTACATGTATATGTAAATCAATAACAGCCCTGTACTACAGTAGTTTTATGTGTGTATGTTACATGCATATGTAAATCAATAACAGTCCTGTACTACAGTAGTTTTATGTATGTTACATGTATATGTAAATCAATAATAGTCCTGTACTACAGTAGTTTTATATGAGTGTGTTACATGTATATGTAAATCAATAACAGTAGTTTTATGTGTGTGTGTGTTACATGTATATATAAATCAATAACAGTAGTAGCCTTTTTATCTTAAATGAAGAAATGTTTCCTGTTTTCAAGATAATCCTAGAACAGTTCACCTAATAAATTTGGAGTCCATTCTCTTAATTGTTCTATAATTAGTATGCTCATGACAAGTAGAAAATAGATAAGCAGGAAGATGATAATCCATTGACAGAGAACTGATTTGGCGGGTTATATATTATAAACTACGAAGAATTTGTTTGTTTTTCGAATTTTGCACAAAGCTACTCGAGGGATATCTGCGCCAGCTATCTTTATCAGAGAAGTGATAGACTTAGAACAGGGCGACTACTCAACATCATCAACAGTCAACACTTGGGCTACTCTTTAACCAACGAAATATGGGATTGGCCGTCACATGGTAATGTCCCCACGGCTGAAAGGGCGAGCATATTCGGTGACGGGATTTAAACTCGCAACCCTCAGACTGCGAGTCGAGAGCTCTAACCACCAGAAACTAGAGACAACCCGTCCACAGCACGTGTGCTATAATCCAACTGAGCTAAACGTTTAGCCCTTAGATTCTGGTATTAAAGTACTTTTTAAAAGCTCAAACTACCAAGTGTATCAGCCACCCCTGAAATGATAGAAAATTGCTTACTACCCTACTTTATTTTCAATGAGAGGCTTACATGAACTGTTACCAGTTTGGTAATTTTCTAACAGTTTCAAAGAACTTTCCAAACTAATAAACAAACAATTAGATAGAAATACTGAACACAAGCCCTCTTTCATTCGCGGCCATGGAAAGGAGATATCAAAATTACAGAATTCTCAATATATATATCTGTTAACGCAGTTTAATTCATGCTATCAATGGTAATTTTTTACGGGATAGCCTTTAGTCTTTAAGGTTGAAACAGTACGTTTTCTTTGACGCTGAATGGGTCCCTGTGTTAGAGCCAAGATGTCTTAAGTGCTATGATTTTTAAATGGCTGATATGAACTGAACCGAAATGGCAATAAAACACAGCAGAGGTTGTTTCAAGTTTAATTAAGACTGAGCTTCTTGTTTCGTTATGCTGTCTTGAGCTCAAACTGCAAAAAAAAAGAGGTAACAAAGATTCTTAAAAAAAGATGAAACGGCTGCCTAAAACGTTGTGGTAAAACACCATGAATTATTTTTGCATAATACCCAGCAAATGAAATAAATATATCCGATAACCTGAGTGCAAATAAAATGTGACTTTTCCTTCACATGAAGTAAGTTCCACTATTAAAATATAACCGATCCTTTATTTGCTTCTAATGAAAGTCCTCCATCACAAGGTGAATGAATGATCTTTTCCTCACATCTGATAAAGTAAAGTTTAGCAGCACAGAAAGACAAATTACCATTTCTTCACTTCTAACAAAGTAGTCCACAGTCAAATGGTGAGTGATCTTTTCCTCACATTGCCTTAAATAAGGTCCACTGAAATCCAGTCCATCTTCTAAGTGTGTGTGTGGATTTTGTTTTATTGTTTGCCAAGATAGATGTGAGAAAGAATAAGCTC